CCCCAAAACCCCAAAACCCCATCAGATTGAATTCGGATATATAATTATATTATAAAATCAAAAGTTATTAGTCATGGCAAGCAAGAAATTTGACAGATTCTATGATGATCTGAATAAACTTGAGCAACTCGAGGATAGATTATCAAATAACTTAAATCAGAAAAATCTGGCTATAAAAGCAGGCGAACCTACTGGAAAATATGAGTATTTGATTCAAAGTAGTGTAGATAGTCTTAGAGATGACTTATCAAAAATATAAAGACTAGCTTTTGTCTATTAAAACGAGCCACACTAGCACCCTGACCTAACTTAGAAAGAAAGGTAGAAGAGAGTGCAAAAAATTGAGGAGTTAGAACAGAGGATTCCACAGCTTTTAGCCCAAGCCAAGCAGTCAAGTAACGCCGATAATATATCTGGCAAATAGAGAGGCTATAATCAATATGATGATGAGGAAAGAAATTATAATAGAGATGAAGAAGGAGAATTCGAAGATACAAAAGCGATGGATGAAAGACAACTTATTACTAAAAATAAAAAGATTATGAATGATTAGGATAGATAACTCGATGAGATTCAAGGAATTGTATCGAGCATTAAATATGAAAATTAAAACATGCAAGATGAATTAGGGCATTAAAATGTGATTCTTAGCAAGATAGATGGTGATATAGAGAGAAATTTTTAGAGAATGGTTAAGGTTGACAATAAACTAAAAAAGCTTATTGCTAGCTCAAATCATTGGTGCATCTGGATCATAATAATCATTGAAATTGTGATTCTTATACTTGTAAACATCTGAAATATTGAAATAGTTTATTATGAATTTAAGTATTTAATGAAGAAGAAAGTTATATCTCTAATCTATTCTTATGAAGTTAAGATTAATTATATAACTCATCTTCCTTTTCCAATAAAGTAGGAGCATGCCAAGAACACCCTCCAGAAAGTATTTTCGATGTAACCCATAGGAGAGTACTTCTCCCTGTCATCCACAAGTCTACATTCTCTCTTTAGATTGTTGAATACTTGCATGAAAGTAGTATATGCGAGTGTAGGTCTCAAAGGGTCAACTTTTTCGTTAACAAGCAGTATATTTGCTTCATTATTGCAGTAAAAGCTCCAAATATCTTAATTTAAACTACCTAGAGTCATAAATTTTCCATCATCAACAACAACAGCCTTCATATGTAAAAATTTATAGGGTTCTTCATAAACAACAGCACCATGTGATTTCAGGTACTTAAAGAGGTCTGCGTTCAAAAAGGTTCTATAGACAGGCTGATCTCTGATTCTTGCAGTCACTATTTCTACCTTGACTCCTCTCTTTTCCATTGCCTCAACCAAAAGATTTTCTAGCTCTTCTACATTCTAAACATAGGGCTATATAATCTTAATAGAATGCTAAGCTTCTTTAATAATATCAAGCACAGCCTTACTGACTTCAGTCACTTGTGGAGGAGTTTCTTATAAGAATACCCCTATCTCAGGGTTTTTAACTTTTTATTCTTTGTAGAATTTACTATAAAGTCTGTGATACTTATCATCTATGTCATCAAATGTGTCATTAATCTCTTTTTCCTTAATCATATTTGGATAGAATTAAGCATTTCTGATTATCATATCTCTGAAAAAGTCCCTAGTTTTCTTTGATGGATGTCTTTTTAAAATAATATTCAGATCTCTGAATTAGCCATCGCCATAACGAACACTAGAGTACATATTAGCAATATTTAAAGACCCACAGAATATGTTATCATCTACTAACATCACCTTCTAATGATTTCTTTAAAATATTGGTGCTACTCTGAATGACATAAGATGCCTGTAAAACTATCTGAATGGATTATTTCTAATAACCATTCCTCCTGCCTGTTCTAATTATCGTACTTAGTCTTTGTTTGCATAGAAATTTAAGTCGTCGATGATGAGAAAAACTTTCACTCCTCTCTTTGCTGCATTTTTAAGTTTTTGAAGAGTAATTCCAGATATATTTTTATGATCCATATCATAAGTAACGATACAGATGAGATCCTTAGAATTGTCTATATGCTTCCACAATGTGTCAAAGAATCGATCATTATCCTCATAGATCTTTATCGATTAAGGATTTTTTTAGACCATAAGTTCTTTTTATTATTTTAGTAAGTGTTAATTAATTAATCTTCCGAAACCCCTAATAAATATTAGTGCATTATGGGGTTTTGGGGTTTTGGGG